GCCTTCGCACTGGAGGCACCTGACACGCAGCTGGATGGATGTGTATTGGTGAATCTACTGAGCCCCGGTGATTTCCTTCATCATTGGTGCTGCATAAAGAGTACTCGGTCAGCTTATATTAGGCTACCCAATGAGAGTTCAGCCGCAGCGAAACATTCACGACGCCCCATTGAAGGTCACGAACCCGTCTGTACAGCCTTCAACACAACGCGGTTGCCTTACTTGGAGAATGCAACCGCTCATATCCGGTTCGCCTCCGCCGTTCGTTCTCCACTGATTTCCTCCGTGCAGCTAACGTGATACTTACGGTCTGAAAACTACTCGGGCAGAGACCGCCTACAAACGGTCTGCAAACAGTCCTCAGCTTTCCATTTAAGAGCACCAGACTCCCATCAGTACGCATCATCCTCCCAACACAACAAACTTCGCTTACCTCCTCGATTCAGATCAGCTAGATCTCGTCCAAGGTCAAGCAATCTAGCAGCCCAAAAATCCTGCCAGACTCTACATCTGCCACCATGCGCTTCACCACCCTCATCACTCTGCTCCTTCCGGCTCTTGCCCTCGCGGCTCCAGCTAGTAACGATATCCGTGCCGAGAAGTGCGCTCCCACCTCTTACACGCTCTCTGACTACATCTTATCCACCTCCGGCTCCTCAGCCTACGTCAACTTCAACTTCAAGTCCAACTTCGCGGACGCTACAGGTATCCAGGACTCTGTCATCACCGGCTCGAACTGCAACGCCAGTGGCGCTACTATCCCCAACGGCAACGTTTGCTCCGCTCCAGACCGCAAGTTGCTCTTCGATCTCCGTGCTCCTCAAGATCAGGCACATTACCAAATCACGCACACCTGGGCTTGTGACGGGTAAGTCAGCGTCAATCTTGGAGATTCCGATATTTGATCATACATGCTGATAATTTTCATAGCGCGACTTGGATGTCTGGCAACGATGTCAAGATCGACCCGCTTAACTGCATCGACAGCGACGGCACTCGTACTTGTAATCAACCAGGTCCGCAGACCATCATTCCGCAGAACGTGCGCCGTATCTGCAATGCTCCTCGCTGCTAGGGCGCACTAATCACTCCTGCGCATGGTATCGAGGCCTACCACTTTTGATCATTGCGAGATTGGACATGAAGTATGGCTTCATTTCTGTTATGGTGACCTGTGCATAAAGAATGATACATGGAAAGGCGTCGGGAGTCACTGAACTTCTTTGCAGTTTAGTTAGTTGGGAGAATCCTAGGCACGACCAAACATGAATAATAATATACTGATATATACTTAGAAGAAATATTCGTGAACTCAGTGGCTTTAAATACTGCATTGGGATACAGTGAACTTGATTGCGATCTATCTTGGGGAAAGGGTATATACGCACACAACTCCAGCAATCCAGCATCACAATCCCATATCCTCAAATCATCTCCCGAACTCCCTTCCCAGCACTAAACCGTGCCAAATTTACACTCACATTCACTACACCACTCCAACTCTTCTTCTTCTTATGCCCCTTCTCCTTCTCCTTGCCCTTCTCCCTCTCAACCATATCCCTATTCCCACTCAACCGCGCGACCAGGTCTAGACTCGACGTCTTCCCATGTTTCGAAACATTCGGAAACTGGAACGTCGACGCACGAGTCTGTGCATATGATGAGGAAATGGGCGACACACTTCGCTCCCGTGTAATCAAGTACCCGCCTTTACTCTCATATAGATAGTCCCATGCTGAATCACGTGTGCCTTGGAGAGGAAGACTCATGTCGCTGAGGCTAGAAGGAGTGCGGTACAAGTCCTCTGCGTCTACATCCACATCTTCGTCGTCGTCAATGTCCTGTGCATGACTGTGGTCCGCGCGGCTGGATTGTCTTGCTTTTGAATCCCGTGGCGGTGTCGTCGGCGATGTTTGGACTTGTGACGGCATCGGATTTGGCGCTTGTGTGAATGGCAATACGGCGCGAGACGAGTGCGGGCGTTGAGGCGGGAGGTCTGGGGTCGATGGCCAAGGGATGGTGAGGTTAGGTGTGGATATTGAGGGGCGGCGTTGCGATGTGATATTAGGAAGTGGCTCGGGACTTGTGAGTTGCTCGGTGGACAAAGATGCGAATGCTCGCAATGCTGGGTGGTCATTAAGTGGTGGCTGGGGTGTAACGGGGCGGAGGAGAGGGTGTGTTGTTTCGAGTCTGAGGGTGGATGTTGGTGGTGCTAGACTGATTTTTGAGGAGTTTGTCGAGTTTGGGAAGGGCATTTCTGGGGATAGTGAGCAGGACCGTACTTGCTCTGTGCTGAGGTTCGCTGCCTGCGGAGGTAGTGGTGGAAGTGGTCGATTGTGAGGTGGAGGGAGTTGACGTGCTACACTTTTCTTCATGACGAGCCATTCTGAAAGATTGACATCCGCTGCCTCGAGGAGTGAAGTACCTGGGACTTGGTTCTTTGAGCTACCGCGCTCGGGTATGGCTGATTGAGGAAGTTTGTCGAGCACCTTGTCCAATGGCTGTGGATTGATCTCGACGATGTCATCCGATGAGGCATGAATCGTGATTTCTTGGGAGCGTGCCGTGATAAGAGAGATATTACGCTGTACAGTACTCTCCTGCGACTGCACTATTTGCGCCGTGGTGTTCGAGACTTGTCGCGAATGCGATGAGAGGCTTGATACTGTGGACAGAGAAAGTTCCGATGGCTCATCACTGTCAGAGGCTGAGCTGTCTTCGAGGTGTTCTTCTGGAATGGATTCGGCCTGGAAGTTTTGCGATGCCTTCGTCGCAAGGGGTCGAATGACGGACCATGGCGGTGACTCTTTCAATAGCTCAGCACACTCAGTCTCATTAAGCTGCGCATCCCATGTTGCCAGTTTCTTTGCAACCCACGGATTCTGGGTGCAACGCAGCTTGGAGAAGTATGCACTGCAGGCTTGCGTGTTGGTCAGTGGTTGCCCGTAATCGAGAAGGTCTTCGAGCGTAGCAAGAAACTCCCTGTTGAAATCCTCAATGCAGGAGTACTGATCGATGTGCAGGTTCAGAAAGTGACAGAATGCGTGATGGTAAGACTCGAAGCTGAATACCATGAAGCGATGATCCAGTGCGGCAAGCATCTCCTGCGCATTGAAGCTCGATGGTGGTAATGGCGGGCCAACCTCGAACACCTCATGCATTACCTCCTCAGCCAGCGAGAGGAAGATGTCCAACTTGACTTCTCGATCATGTCGGACCCACTCTCTCCGCTCCTCGAGTAGACATGGTTGTAGACACGTGGTTGAGGCATTTGCTGACGTTGCGTTGGCTTCGGGCATTGGCATGCGACACTTGCCATTGCAATACTTCCACGAGTCCTTCGCCTCGAGTGCAAACTTGATGTGCCGCCGCCATCGCGAGTATTCAGGGCCGCTGGAGTGTGCGAGAAGAATGGGCACGCCCGGAAGACGCGGTGATGTGAGTTGAGACATGATTTGGTGGGGGCGGCAGCATGAGCCGTGATTGCTTCTGTCCGGAAGGGAAGTCGTCGCTGGTGAAAGGCAGGGCAGGAGCGACTCAGGACGGGATCATCATCGAAACATGACAGACACCAAATACATAAACTTCGCGACCAGACGTCTCGCGTCTAATTGAGAGGGATGATTGCGACTATATGTCAACCAACACCGAGTGCGTGCTACCCACAGCCTCGGGCATGCAGGGCTGGATGCTCATCCGCAAGGGGCCCCTGGCAGAACACTTTCCGGGCACCAATGTGCATGACTGCTGACCTTACTGGTCATGACTTTCTTATTGTGCACTGCGAAAGGTCGCGCAAAGCGTCGTAGTCAGCAGCGCTCATGGTCGCGGGCGTCGGGGTCAACATGGATGCAGCAGAAACGAGCCAATAGAGAGAACGTCAGCGAGGCTGGTGTGCCAAATCCGGCAGCGTCGGGGTTTATCCATTGATGCTTCAGCTTGAAGTCCGAGAGACGAGTATGACGCTTACAGAGGGTTGAAAAGTGACGCACGAGATGCGGGCATAGTGGCCATCCATGTGCCAAAAGCAAAGGCGCAGAGCATGGAGTGGTATTCTTAAGGCAGCGCTAACGTGAAGTCTCATAGTCGATTATCAATTTCGCCCGAATGAGACGGGATTGTTTCCGCGTCTTTCTTTGTCGAGCTTCGCGATGCGGCTGAGGATGTCCTCTGTTGTGGCATGAGGAAGCGTGACCATCTTGAAGAGGCACGATACTCTCGTATCAACATCACAAAGAAGCAAACAAAAGATCCAATTATCGGGCCAATATACTCTAGACTCAACATGGGACTTGACACGCTAGACTTCTGGTAGGCGCTGCGGATACCGTCAGGCTTCATCAGCGTGGGAGGACCCGCAGATTCGGTGTTCAACCCCGGATATTTTTGGCGCACCATGCATCATGCAGACCCGCCAGGTCTTGCAATCAGTTGTGTCGACTGAGTTACCACCATTTCCAGACAACTCTCTCGCAAATCCTGGCGTGCCTCGGAGAGTTCAACGGCGGAAGGTGGACAGGAGCAAACTAGGTTTCGGTTTCAATAATATGGCAAAGTCAGTGCTGGCAGCGCCAGTTGCTGTATGCAGCGAATTCCGGCGGGCTTGCCGTCCACGTGGGCTGAGCTCGAAAGATGGGCAGCCTCCTTTCATACTGGGAGAGGCTCAACTCTCTGCAGCACACTTGACGGCCGATAAAAACACGACGAGAGCCTCGCAGACTGGCAATGATCTTCTCTAAGGATTCTGGTGGGGTCGTGAGCGGGAGGTTGGTAGCCTGTCGCACTATTGGCCCCGACCGAACCACCCACACCGCCAACCACCAGACCAACACAACCGCTTTCCTGCTTCTCCAGTCAAGTCTATTGAGTCAAGTCCGATGTCGCATCTCTCGCCATTCGCCGCGAGCCTTCTCTCTGCTCGGTTATGGTAGTAGGATAGAATTTGGCTAATTTTTCAAAGCTTCATTCATCGGTCAACAGGCGGTTGAATGAATAATTCCGGCGTGGTGGCGGAGTGGTTATCGCGTATGACTAGAAATCATATTCCTTCGGGAGCGCAGGTTCGAGTCCTGCCCACGTCGTTTTTTGTTTGGTCGTGTGCTGGTCACGTCGTTATTTTTGGTCGTGTTGTGGGGGTAAACGACCTTGTCTTTGGTCGCAACGAGTCAAGCAACCTACCATACATGGCTTTTCGAGGCTTTGTATACTCCCATTCGCTAATGAAACCTGTTTCCCTGGCATTGGGGTAGTGTGGTCTCATTTTTGTGACTTGCACATGCACATCCCGATGGTCACGGGACGCCAAGTCGAGACAATCCACAACATGCCTTACCAGCCAGTACAACTTTTCAGATGTCTCAAATTCGTGCCTGAACAAGGGATACATAACTAGCTTCTCTGTCATGGAACCTTGTCTTTCCTCGAGATGCTTTCCTCGTCTTTTGGTCAGGTCACGTGCGATCCTCAAACCGTTCCCTCGCCCACTATCTCGTCTGACTTCACTTTGACCAGCGACAATTAAACGAACAGATATTGGCTGTACCTGTATTTCAACGACACAGAAAACGCAAGTAAAAAGGGCTTCGAATGGTCTGACACAATTAAGGAGCGTGTCGCTTGTTACAAGACTCCCGTCATGTGACGATCGCATGACACCCGTGAGAATACCACCGATGACAAAGACGGTCTCTCGTGCGGTGGCGGCCCGAACTGATTCCTGACGGTTTGACTTTGACAGGTCAGTCTCTTAGTGCACACACACACGGTAGACAAGGGGGGCCCGGCTCGGGCTCGCCAAGAGCTCGCTTGGCATTAGACACTCTATGCGGTTTCCCAAACGGAATGCTTCCTTCTCCATGCCACCACGACCGTTTCCGCATGCCTTCAGAGTCGGCACGGATATTTGCAATGTCGCGCGCGTCCGGCGGATGGTCGCCCACGAGCATGAGGGGAGGCTGTCCCTGTACCGGTTCTTGACACGAGTCCTGACAGAGCCGGAGACCATTTATTTCTGGGGCCGTTTCGGACCACAGCATTCTATCCGCGAGAGATTAGACGATGCCTCTCAGTATCTAGCCGGCAGGTGTGTACTGCGCGCGCTTACTCTGAATGCCTTGCTAAACTTGACGTAGATTTGCAGCGAAAGAAGCGATGCGCAAGGCATGCGACCATCTCAAAGACTCTTCCAGAGGGTTCAAATCGATCATGGTTCTCCCAATTCGTTCCACCGACCGCAAGTCAGGCCAGAATGACCACCTGTCGGCAGCGCCCCAAGGACTCATTCTGGATGCGCCCCACGAAGCACTCCGTAAAAGTGATTATGAGGAAGAGCAGGACATACTCGGGAAAGTCACAGGCCCACCACTCACAAACATGGACGAACTTCACGGACAACTATGTCCCATAAGCATCAGTCATGACGGCAACTTTGCGACTGCTGTGGCCGTTGTGCCGCACATGGAACTAGGTCAAGCAGAGGACACAGAGCCGCGTTCTGGGACGTACACGCTTGAGAAGCAGCTATCCGAGCAAGTTCTAGGAAAGCGGTACGATACCCTCCAGATGGACGGGCTATCAACACGACCCATTCTGCAGAAGATGCAGGAGACGTTGCGACTTGGCGACGAGATACAACATCGCATGCAAGATATCCAGCGGCGAAAGTACCTTGTTGACCAGATTGAAAAACTCCGCGAGATGGAGAGAGCGACCCATTTGCGTGAAGAGAAACTGTTCGCCAAGTCTACACCCGAGGAGAAGCTCCGTTGGAGACGGTTTTACTTGGACAATGCGCTCTCAGCGCCGCCAGAGGGTAGACCAGCGAAGGCTTAACCATTCGTCCGCACACTGCTTCGCAACCCTGCATGCGCGCCGTACCGCACAAGGTCAGTCGATGCACAGCCGCAGGTGCATGCGGGACCCGAACCGAGGCAGGTCTGGAGCTGCGGCCGACATCGCGAGTGGCTGTCGCAACCAATTTCCACGTAAAGCTTACTGCTGCTGGTCTCTGTCGACACAAATCGCTCCAGCTGGCTGCCTCGACATCTTACAAAGTCGCGCTTCGTAGTTTGTGCAGCGTCAGCCAGTATACATAAAGCAACTGTTTCCGAGTTGTGGCCGGCGAGGCTTTCCGTCGTTTCGCCTAGCCCTGTGCATCTTCATTTCTTAGCCTTTCAGCCCTCAGTACCACTGCTTGCCACCATGCCAAAACAATACAAGTCAATACCAGGTCCACTTCAAATTACCCCATTCGTCCACCGCGCGAGTGCCACGACACGCCCGTGTCTGTTCAGCTCTTGCGAAATTTACGAGGTGCCATGTTGTTCTTGGTTAAGCTCCATCTTGGCTGCAGAACAACCTGCAGCTCATTGGCTGTGTCGCAGAAAGTGGGAACATCGCAAAGCCTCGCTGGGCGTGGAACACACCTTGACCGGTATCCTCGGTTTGACTTGTGAGTTGAGAGGCGCAGATGTGGAGAGTGAAATGTTACGATATGAAAAGGGTTCCCGTGCCCATGGGCCTCTCAGCTCGCGATACGCCAACCTCTGTGCTGCTTGTTCTTCATTGTTGAAGATCACTTCTCCAATCCAAGCACACCAAAGGTTTGTAGTCATTTTAAATTGACCGTGCCTGAGCTAGCCGTTCATCATGCTTGTCCACCTGGCTATCGGCTCGGTACTCGTTTACAGCAGCCTCGCTGCCCTCCAAGCGTCGCAGGATGTGACACCTCCAGATGCCATCATCACACCGGGTCCCAACATTGAACTCCTAAGGAAACAGAACAATGATCAGTACATCGGTTGGGTCCAATACAGCGGCTTCTGGTCGAGCCAGACCTGCGATTTCGGTACGCATATTCTCTTCCCAACTTCACACGAACGTGGAACTGATGGTGTTATGAGGAAACACCTACTATGCAGCGAATGGGCAATGGGCCTGCTGTTCGACAACCAGGGCAGGATGTGCGAACATGCCTATTAATTGTGTCAGTGGCAGCATGATCTATAGCGTGACAGCATCCCCTGGAACTACGCTCACGAACAGCCGGGTCACTCGAGCTTGGTAAGTTTGGACGAACCAATGCAAATCCAAAGTCACAACTGACCAGTTGTAGCACACAAATCTGGACAGCATCTTCGGATGCTTCCTTCACGGTCTGCAACACTGCCTCCATGTTCGAAAATGATCGTGACTCCAACCCAAAGTTGAACATCATTTGCGGTGTTTCGTCTCTCAACTGGTCGTACTACCGGCAGGCGCCAACGACCACAACTACTACTAGTAAGAGATTCTTTTCACCGATGCATATTGTTGTGGCTAACATGCGTTCCAGGATCGAGTGCTTCGACTCCATCTCCCAGCCCCTCAACTGGTTCCACCCGCTCATCTACCCCAACACCAACCATAATCCCACCACCAATGCCGGAAGAGAAGAGCAAGGCCTGGATTGCCGGTGCCGTCGTCGGCCCCCTCGTCGGTCTCGCTCTTATCGGCTTCGGCGCATTCTTTTTCATCCGCCGCCGACGAAACAAGAGTCACGACCAACACGTCGCACCAGCATCTGGTAGCCTCCCTCCACCCGGTGCAACCGCATACCAGCAGAATAACTACCCTACCAATCAGCAACCCGTCTCTCCCGGACCACCACAGTACTATCCACCCATGCAACAAAATGCTGGCGCCGTGCCATTCGGCACTACAGAGCAGAAGGGTGGCTTCTATGCCCCCGGCCCCCAGTCTCCTGTTACTACACAAGGCTCGCAAAGCCCTTACGGCGCTCCCCAGCAGTGGCAGCAGCCGGCTGGTCAGCCAGTATATGGCGTGCCTAGCCCGAGCATGAGTCCTCAGCCGCAGCACGCGCAGACGCAGCCGTATATTGCTCCGGAGGCGAGGCCGTTTTCGAGCGAGCTTGAGGGAAGCTATCAGCATGGAAGTCCAGAGGTGATTAGTGTGCAACCGAATAAGTGAAGAGGGTTGATTAATGGTTGATGTTGGCGAGATGTTTGGAACGGGGCTTTTGTTGATGGATCGGTAAGGAGTCATGGTTTAGTACATACTCGTTGGGACAAGGGATGTGTGTCACGCTCGTTGAACATAAAGTCAAGCGCTAGTATCGCCTTATTGTTTAGTCTATAGTATTTTATACCCTCAATATCAGACTCTTATCTTCACTTCTTTCCTTTCCTTTTATTTGGTAGTCCATCCGGTAGTCCATCCGGTACGATGCTGAACCATGCGCAGACCAGGACGAAAGCAAAAGCCGTTGCAGCAAATGTATTCTGTAGTGTTATCAATACGATGAACCATGCTATCAACGCCATTGTCTGCCAGAAGACTTGTACGCAGGACGACCAAAAGCGGCAAATCGCAGTCGTCGAGAACTGCCGGTACTGACTTAACGTGCGAAGATTATAGTCGAGTTTCTCCATCCGCGTAGGTCTTGAAAGGACTTTTGACCATTGTTCGCGCCGTGTGTTGTGATTCGCCTCGCTATCCGTGTCCGGCTGTCGGATGTATCTATGCGTGAGCGTGTGGTGCCAGAAAGGACTCAGCTGCCTCCCCATATTGTATGGTCGTTCCGTCTCCATGAAAGTGACCCACTTCTCAACTGTTTGTTTTGCTTCTTTCGCAGTGGTCTTGAACCACTCTTTATGTTCCGTCACTTTGCAAGTATCACCCTTCTGCTTGTGTCCTTTGCATTCGAAGTACTGCAGTCGATCCTCCAAATCAAGATGTATAAGGCGTTCCGTGCGCTTGCAGTAACTGATCTCATCCGTGACCGAGACAACCGCCGGATCGATCCCACAATCTCGCAAGTGCTCCTTGAGGCGCGTGGTGTAGGGCTTTTTCGTTGTAATACCAATCTTGTAACCTCGATCAGGGCGAGATGCATCGAAGATGATGTAGATGACCCCCGCGCAATCTTGAAGAGTAAGGTTCTTGCGTACTCTGGTGTATATTTTGTCATTGATCGCGTGTGGCGAGGTCAAGAATTTGGGATGTGTGCTTGACGGTGAAGAGCTCGGACCAGATGATGGGGAGGTTGAGGTCGAAGCAGGTGAAGAACCACGCGATGAAGGAG